CCCTCAAACCCCAACCAAATGACAAGAAGAAAAATCCCCAAAAAACTGTCCTCATTCAGGCTTGCTCAGATTCCMGGGATAGAAATGCTCACAACACTTATAAAAAAAAAGTGAGCAGTGATATGAATTTCAGCAGCAGCTGATAGGAGAGATCTGTTAAAATTGATCATTCCCCTGTCAAAATATCAAGGAACTGGCCAATACATTCTGCAAAGCTGTCAGAGCAGATGATGTAACAGAGAAGCACAGCTATACATTACTTAGCAGCTTCTTTTCCCACCACTAACGTGTCATCTRCTTCATCTGTGCTGTGACCTGTTGGGGGCACTCAGGTATAGCAGCAGATTACTTGCTCTCGTGTTATTTGTTTTCCCTTCCAGCCTTTAGATGTAGCTGCTATTTTATTCATGAATCCCAATATTCCATTTAAACAATTAAACTAGGGTTTTTTTTTATTACTTTGGGGACTATAGGGAAATTTCTCATATAGTCATTAGGGAGACTCCCTAACAGTTCACTGCAAGTCATCTTACTGTGTTAGTATATTGTAGTGTTTATGTTTGAATTAGAGTGTTTTCTCTGCTGTCTTTGGCATTGGCTTGTAGAATTACCTGCAGAAATCACTGTATTTGAAAAGAACCYGTATTTGGTGCATGTTTAGCATATTTTTGTAAGCAGCTTGTACTATSACCACTTGTAGAAACAGCCAGCCTGACAGGGCAAATGGCTACTGCAGGAGACYTTCTTTCATTAAGCATTTTTCAATAGCTCTCCACTTAATAAATCTTTMAACCTGATCCTGACTGTATCTTAGGTACTTAATGAAGGAGTAAACCAGCAGATTGGGCTGCATCCATTAAGCTAGGGGAAAATGATGGATTATGAAAAGTGAGATCAAATTGCAAGAGAAAGCTCAGCACAGCTTTGGGCAAAATAAAAAGCTTCAGGCTTTTCCCTTCCTGGAACTGCATGTCCAGGAGGTTTCATCTTGCACAGACCTTTGYGAACTGGAAGAGTCTGTGAAAAGGGGATCCAAAGGAAACCAGTCAAAGTTGTTTCTGAAGACTTTTCCTGGGTCAGGCTCTCTGGCACATTTTCAAAGGGTCAAGTATCAAGTGGAGTAGCAATCTGTTGCTAAGTGTATTGGTGTTGCCTTTGAAGCCAATTACTCCGGTTATATGTGGTAATTTTGGGATCCACAATCATATCATGCACCAGGGAAGCTTGTACTCTTTTATTTCACCACACAGACTATGATCGCGTTTTTCCATAGTCTAAAACCAATTTCCTCTTTAAAAACTACCTTGTTGCCACCAAGGTATTTTAACCTTAAAAGATAGACTTTCCAGCTAGAATAAATTTCCCATAATGTAGGTTCCTAAGTGAATAGAAGATATAGACATTTTACATGTCCAGGAGACTACCAAGAAGTTTGCTATTTGRTCAAGAGTTTTATTATTATACAGCTCCTTTAAGGAAATATTAATCAGCAATTCTTCACGYTTCTTGTCAGCATTTCAGCATAAATTTTCCATCAATCAATTTATATAAAAATATTTCAGATAGGCAGACATGTTTTCAAAAGGTTTGATCCTGCAAGCCACTCAAAACCCTTCTTTCCTTATGACATCAACAGACATTCTATTAGGTCAGTATTTACATTTATATAACCATTTATATGGCCAGTTTATTTGTATTTTTATTTACAGGAAATAAATGCTCAATGAAAAAAAGGGGAGACCAGGATTTTTTGCTTGATTTTCATTTGACTGARATTTGACTGATGAAGGTAGGAGATTTGGTAAAGTAGACCAAGGTCTTTGTCTTGCTGCTAGCTGGTATTTGATTAATAACTAGAGTGATGCAAAATTAACATGTCCTATGTTAACAGTGTGAGGCCTTAGCTATCAGGTACATCTAAAATATAATTGTAAATGGGCAATAATTATTAGGCAGATGTGTTTCCAAAAAGGTCCTAAAGGTATTGATTCTTGGCCTTGTGCTGTCTAGAACTTTTATCAATGACTTGGAAGAAAACTAAGAACACAGAACATCAGTGATAAAGCCTGTAACGATTTGAGAAGAAGAAGTAATGAACATGCAACATGGATCATGGAGTTCATGCTGCAGGACAATCAGAACCGTTGGCAAACTAGTTTTTAAACAAATTTTCAGCACAGTCACATGYAAAGTTATTTTTCTAGGAACACGGTATTACAATTGCAGAGTGTGATTTCTGTCAGGGAARCAGTGTGATGGTTTCTTGAGCTCAATCTGAGCTCCAAAGCACTAAGACACCTCTCAGGTGAAGAAATAAAATCCTCTAGAAGAGAAATCATATTCCTTATCAGGAAGCCACTGCTTTAACTGAAATCCTCAAGTTCCAGTGAGAATGTCCACTTCAAACTAAAAGATTCCTTCCTTCTCCCTGAAACATATTTCACTGACAGTCTGACTGATAAACAGAACCCATTTTGTGCACAAGTAATTTTTTTMGTCCTGTTTCAGGGCTTATTCTGAGCTGCAATCATAGGTCAAGTAACTTTTTATTACGATGATCATCTATTAGGTTGTGACAGGATAAAGGGAAATGGAAAAGCAAAGAACCTGCACTCTGAGGAATGGGAGATATGCAACATAGGGAACATGCTGGTGCCGGTAGAGTGGTGGAAGGAAAGAGGCTGGGAATATTTTGTCTGTCACTRCTGAGAGGTATAATAGGATCTAAAGTCTGCAAGTGATTTGTAAACAAAGAATAGATGGTTTTCTAGGCAATATACAGCAGTTTAAACAAGAATTAATCCAAAAAAGTCATGTAATGTGTATTCTAAAGTAGATCAGAACAGATTATCACCATAGTCCATTCTGATTTTATAATCTGGCCTTAAATACATAAGCACTTTAAAAATAAATCAAGATTGGATATGAAGCAGGAACATGTCCCTGTTTTTCTTGGCTATTGCTTGGAGTGGAAGAAAATATATCATGGTTTATAATACTGAAATTGTAAGGAGTACTCTGAATAAAACAGAGTTATAATTAATTTTGATTTTTTTCTATCCAGTATGCATGATAACAGAAAAAGACACATTTCAGATATTTTTCCAAAGCAAATATCTAACTAAATAAATATAAGAAATATATAGATAGTCATATGAATAAGGATTTTGCCTGTAATTCTTTTCTTTCTCCATTTAGATGTATTTTTTTTTTGTTGTTTTGGTTTTGGACCTGACTATCAACATGTGTACTAACTTCAAACAAAAGCTACTGTAGTCTTCAGTAGACTCAGGATAACAGTGCTTGTGTAGGACAGAATATATTTGTAATAATCCTTATACTTGTATGAGCTAATGGAGTAATTCAAGCCTCATGACAATGTCCATATCTGCAAAGAAAGTCCATCAGTTWAAATAAGATGCTCTGTCAGTGATCATTAGTCAGGCCAAGGTACACAACTCCATTCTCAGGGCTTTGCCAGGGAAGATGTCAAATTTGTCTGATTCARTCCTCTCATACTTGCAGCCTTTTGGTTTAGCTTTTCCTTACTTTTTCATCAAATTTCTCCTTTTGTCCCACTTTTCCTACTCTGCTTAGCTTCACCTCTTCACACAGTTCAAGTGATCTCCCCTTATTTACCAGTCTCTTCATCAAACTTCCRTGTTTATTCATTCCCTTCCAGCCCTTGGTCCATGCTCCTTGTCAGACCCTTATCATTATCATTTCTACTGCCAGCTCCTTCCATGAACCAACCCCATCTCTTCAGTCTACCCAAGCTTCATCTCACTCTGCTCTCCGTTCGTCAGGTAGCTCTAATCAGTCTCTTGGCCCCATGAATCCTGGTCATAACTCCTTTTATTTCCTCTTCCTAAATCCTCAGTCTCACAAAATTCCTACTTCCAGTATCTCCTTTGGCCTAGTCTGTTTACAAMCTTTTTATTATTTTGKTTTTTTTTCAATTCTTGTCAGATGAACCCTCCCCACTCCCCTTCATGTTGCCTTTTTGCTAAGGAAAAGCTGAATCCCTGAGAAACATGACTAGTAACTCTCTTTAACAACTAAAGTGGGGGCTGGTGGAGGAAAATTGGAAGTCTAGGAATTGTAACAGCAGCCATAAATGTAATCAAAGAAGGGAGAGTGACAGGGAAAGGAGAAGCAACAGGRTGTTTTTGACAATCTAATCTGATTCAAAAATGATGAAACAAGACTTTGAATTAACAGCTCCTTCTCTGTCACAGCCTGCATACAACCTTGTGCAAGTCCCTCAGTGCCAGGTTCATTAAAAGATGGGAATATTGTTATGTACAACATACCAATGCTGAGCTTTCAGAACCTTGGTCCCTAGCACCTGCAGCTCTGTCAGGCAGCCAGGCTTTGTAACCAGTACCTTAGGAGCGATACTTCAGAGAAAAAGACAAATTGAATTGCAGAAGCATTGAGCGTTCGAAAATTCAACTTGTTTCTCAAAATTTGAGGCCATTTCTCAATATCTCTGTATGTTAGTTTCATTATTGACAAAACAATAACTRATCTTCTTGTGATTGTTGTAAAAGCATACTTCATTTACACTTTCCTAAGGTCCCTCTACAAGGAATAGTTTTCTGAGTGCAAAGCACAGCTATAATTATGAGAGACACTGTTTTAAAAGAGGAAAAAAAGGACACACAAGGGGATGGATAATATCATGAGTAGCTGTAAATACCAATCCCTCAGTAAGACTGTTTGCCTACCTGCTGCTTTAGAGGGTCTGTTTACAGCTGTAGCCAAAACCGAAAAACTGTGGCAGGTAGCAGATGTACCAATTAATAACCTGTCAAGGCTGATGGATAGAATGAAAAAAACCCCAACTCTCACATATAACTCCTGTGTGGTTTTTTTCCCACATTTCAGGTCTTTGGGGGTCATGAGATACCCTCTGTCTCCCTGGAGAGAGATGAAACTGTCTCATTAGCGTCTATCTTTCATGACATTAAGACGCTGCCTTTGAGATGCTAACTCACCTGTTCTTCTCCCAGAATCCTGAAGTGATGAAGCTCTTTAATCAAGGAATCTGGACAGCCAGCTGTTGGAAAGAAACAAAAATAGGCCTTTTAGAGCTTCCTGTCAGTGCAGTTTCAGCATAAGACACATAGATGCAGAGAGGATAGAATATACAGATTACCTTAGATAAAGAAGATTAGAAAGATTAGCCATGGCTCTGCAGGCACCAGAATACTGAAAACCATCTATCAAATAATCCTTCCACATTTCTGAGCATGCTACCAGGAACGCTTAGAAAGGTTATATTCCGAATATTTTAGCCCTTTYCCCAAAGGACTACAAACAAAAGCGAGATGAAAAGGGCAGCACTGTCTGCCAGATACTGCCAACCCTCAGTGTAAGCCAAAAAGCCTGTTAAAAGAGGATCTCACATCAAAACATTGGAGCAGCCCAAAGCTGAATTCTGATTCACACACCAGGTTTGGAGTAATTTCTAAGTACAATACATGCTTTTCCTGATTCCCTGAAGGATTTCATAGGCCCCMCAGATCACTTGAATTTTGGCTGTCACAAATATAACGCTTTTCACATGTATATGTAGCTGTTACCTGCTGGTGTTAATACACAAACCAAGAACACAGGCAGAGGAGTGATTTGCCAGAATTTTGGAACGACATTTATTTTCAATCACTACAAAATTCCACATCTGTACCAACTAGTAAGAAAGTATAYGTCTTGCYAGCTGCCATGCACTTTAKGGACCTGTTCAGACTGGTTATATTYCTAGTGATGAAATCCAAGGCTGCTCTACAGTACTTTTGTAAATTACTTTTGTACACTACTAGACTAATTTCTCACAAGGAGTGAGACTGTGAAAGCTATCTGGGCTTTATTCTTTTTACCTTAAATTGAAGCATCTCTTTGTGAACAGAGGAAATTTCTTGAATTAAGAGCTTAGTTCCCCTCAGAAAATGGGAGGAACCATGATCTTTATCAACCTGGTTTTCTGCTGATGCAACTACAGATAGTTACCTTTCACTCTTAACAACTGCCATTAAAAGAATACACACTAATTTGGACATAATTATCAGGAAATATCCACCAGTACTATGGTATTATTCAAGGCCAATGAGACATGGCGTACACTCACAATTTCTGTTGGCATAGTTGTCTTATGTATGCAGAAGGAAAAGGCTACACTTGAAAGCAACACAGCTAAAAAGATGAAAACCAAACAGACACAATTACACTAGCAAAAGTCTTGCACTCACATTACTTTTCCTACTTAGGGAACTAATTTAAATATTGATCAAACCAACCTTTTGCTGGTAAATGTTTTATTTTCATTCAGAGGAGGAGTAGGTGAARAATGCACCATCTACACAACTTCATCAGCAAACTTTACAAAGTAGTCAAGGTTTAAGGTGGCCCAGGTTTAAGCACAAGAATTGTCTATTAAGGTGTTGTCTCTTACTAAATATTAGTGTTTTTTCTCATTCAATGAAACCTGTGATATTCTTACAGGTTTCTTTTCACACACCTCTTCCTCATGCAMAAGGATATTCACATATTTGAATAAGTGATTATTCCTTTATCAGATTTTATTCTCCTAAACTTCTAGAACCACAACCTGTGTATCACCTTTAAATTTCCCTTCTCATTTTCTCAATGCTGCTTATACTTTCTCAAAACATTTAACTGTCCTTGCTACTCCTACCACAGAATCACTTCTACACACCATTTTCTTGTCTTCTCGCTAGGACTTACATCTCCATCCAACTCTGTCTCTAACTTCTTGTAGTCAAGAGCCGTTGCCTTCTCTGTGTTTCAAATTAAACTTTACTGCATAAAACATGGTTCCTCCCTCTTAGCCTCAAGTTCTTACATAATTAGTAATATTTTTTCCTGCATGTAATTTTCCCTGAAAATATCTACATTGATTGCACACTGCTATAGGAATTTCTAAGTGTAGAGGATAATTATGATTTCATGTAATGCCTGCCTATTAATCTTTGACAGATGTTAGCTTTAGAACACCAACTAAACCGCATGCTGCTTTTTGGAGTYCTTACAGCTTCTACTTCAATCAATTATTTCTTTCTTCCCTCTTTTCCTTTCCAATTTATTGTTAGCTAAACTCCTTAATATGGGAAGGTTTCCTTTTTCTTCCCTAGCATGAACTTTTTCTCCCCATTGTCCTGGAAATCACATTTCTTGAGTACCTATTTCTCCCAGAAATCCATCCTATTTTGCGCTAACACATAAATTATATAATCTCCCCTTAATGAACTCTTTACACGCWTCCTCTCTTTCTTCCATGCAGGCTGGGGGATGAATGGATTAAGAGCAGTCCTGCCAAGGACTTGGGGGTGCTGGGAGTGAGGGGTTGGACTTGAGCTGGCAATGAGCACTTGCAGCCCTGGGCTGCTTCCAAAGCAGTGTGGGCAGCAGGGAGAGGGAGGGGAATAGAACATCAGAAGGATGTGAATGTGTTGGAGTAAGTCCAGAGCGGGGTCACCAAGATGTTCAGAGGGCTGGAGCACCTGTCCTGTTAGGAAAAGGGAGAGAATTGGGATTGYTCAGCCTGGAAAACAGAAGGCTCGGGGGAGACCTTACAGAAGCCTTCCAGAACTCGATGGGGGCTTGTAAGAAAGATAGGGACAAACTAGTGGGGCTTATGGTTAAAGGACAAGGGGTAGTGGTTTCAAAYTGATGGAGGGTYGATTTAGATTAGATATAAGAAAGAAGTGTTTTTATGGTGGTGAAAGAACAGAATGGGTTGCCCCATTCCAGGTCAGGGTGGCCAGGGATCTGAGCAGCCTGACCTGGTTGAAGGTGTCCCTGCTTATTGCAGAGGGCTGGATTAAATGACCTTTAAATGTTCCTTCCAATTCAAACCATTCCATGATTCTGTGAAAAACATGCATGTCTAAGTGTTACTGGTCATCCACTGCTGCCTCCTCTTCCAAATGTACTATTTTGTTCAGCCTGTTTTTCAGAGACTTGCCCAATCTAGTTTTCAATCTTTTCATGGTTCAGATTTGCACTGGAGACTGTTTAGCTGATTATACAACAGATCCTGATGTTATAGCAAAGAGAGAGAATTTAAAAACTGTCACTGTTGCCATGATTCTTTCCAGCAATGAGATCAGAAATGTCAAATGCATACAATATTGAATTATACTCACACATCGTAACAGTCTGATGTCTGTAAGAAGTCGTTTCAGATTGTCATATTCCAAAAGCAATAATTTCAGGAAAACAAAATCTTCCTTTTTTTTTTCTTTTTAAAATATTTCTGGGTATGCTTCTGATGTTTCTTATTTCTATTTTTAGTTTCTTCTTTTCTGTAACTGGAACTTTGCAAAACATGCTCTAACGCTTAACCTGTTTTTACCAAATATCTGTGATTTTTGAATAAGTCTTGCATTATGTTAAATCCCTGCACTGTGACTAGAGGCAAAGGTTATGACAAATAGCCACTCCATAAATAAAAMGTAAAGAGATTAAAACTGCCCCCATTCTGCTCAAAACCATTAAGAACTATTTGTCATCTCATCCACAAATTCATCCATATATCCATCAATGTATTAATGTACATGAAAACACACATGGAAACTTCAAAATTATTATTAGTTAAGCATCTGATGGGTCCACTGGCAAATTGTACACACCAAAAATTTATAGAAAAATGTATTTTCTAAGTCTCTGATGTGAAACTAGAACATKCAAAATGACATAAATAAACTGCATTTTACAGATTTCTGTTATTTTTTATAGAATGCTTTGAGGATTAGTTTTTATGCCTTCTATAGTACAGAACCCCTTATAATGAATGTTGTCAACAGTTACCAAAACTTTTCCCTTCCCTCTTCCCAATTATTGCTTGAAAAGTAAAAGCCTTCATGAAATGTCCACAGACAAACCAAACCACAGGAATATTAAACAATATAATTACATATAAGAGTGTTAAAAGGAAATGATGCAGAGGTGTGGACAATTTCCTTTAATCAGAAGCCAAAATTCAGGATTGAGGACACCTGCAGACTGAGAAAATGGCAGCTAAATTGCTTATTAGTTCCCTCTTTCAACTCACATTCAAATCTATGTATTTCATGTGCTCTCAGCTACAGTGACTGTTACAGGTTATTGCTAACTATGATAGCAGAACAAGATGTAAGAAATATAACACTGATACAAATACTTAATATTTTTATACCATTTTTTATTCTGTCATATCTCCATTGACCTTAAAGCAATCAGATCCATAAAACTAATGGGATGTCTTAGGAATGAGCCTAAGTCTAAGCAGGACAATAAATAAGGAAAGGATGATACCTAGTTCAAAGGATAAGTAGCTTTATAAAATTCACAAGTAATTTCTTTGCCTCTATTTAAAGTTTTATTACTTAAATTACATTTAAGCATATTATTTGCTTCTAYGTGTTCCATCATACACAGTCTACTTGTTTGAATGATTTTGTTGTTGCTTGATTCCCATATTGCTTTATAATTTAACTCCAAATGCTGCACTTATGAATGAAGGTTCTGTTTAAAGTTACAGAATTTGCAACCGTAAATTTGCAATTTACATTGGGGTACTCTCTTCATAAACCTATTTTTAATCTGTTCAGATAAATACATGTATCTCCAAGAGAAGAATAAAGAAGCAAAATTTAGGAAGGATGGTTTAATGTCTTCCAACATCATAAATACCCTGATTTCAATTGGTCTGAACACGCATTTTCAACTGCACTTGTAATTAAACTGTGATTTTAACTACTACCAATTTAATTACCCAAATCTTCACATATTTTTTCTCAGACAGAATTAACTTCTGGTTTTGGTTTTTTTTTTCCCTTAAAATTATTCCTCGGTATGACTTATGTTCTTCAGAGAGAAGGCAAAGGAAAAATTAAATCAACTCTTTAWTGTCACATAAACTCGCAAAACGGCAGGAAAAAGCCCCAGCTGCTACAAACAGAGCCAACTGAGAAGGAGCACACACAGACATCAGTGCCCTGATGGCAGTAGCAGCCCTGCCTGTCCCATCCAGGACCCCTGAGGTGACAGTCCCTGTCT